ATACCCTTTCTCCTTCTTTCCAAATCTGAGATTAAAGGCAGAAAAAATGACCGAACACCCAGTGGTTTTGCTCTAATCAATGTCCAGCACCCTTCTCTTTCCTTCATCCACTTTGCTAGCTTCTACTCTGTGTCCACGGGTCTCCAGCTTTCCTGGTTTAGCAGCAGTCAAACAGAAACCCACCCCTCCTAATCCCCTTTTCTCTCCACTTCACGTCTTCCCCTGTCAGATTCACCTCTCCCTCGCTTCTTCCTTCCACCTCCTCCTGCCTCCCTGTTATGTTCTCCATATGCTTTAATGGCTCCTCCTCTGGATGAAGGAGGGGGAAATGATTCAGGCCGCTGGCATGCATGGCAGGGCTGCAGCTGGACACTGCACCTGCAGCTCTGAAAAACAAGCTGACGGGTGCATGTTCGGGAACCTCTCGGCGCATGTGACTGGGTGCATTTTTCCACGTGCACGGTACACAAATTATTCTCATATTTCAAATTCCCGCTCTTTGCTGCACTGCTACCTCCTTTTTCAGCGTCTTACGTTTCTCTGCCTTGTTATTCCCACAGCCCTGCTCTCAGTGAGTGCGGTTCCCAAGTCTGAATGAAGCACAAAAGGACTGTGTGGGAACCCGAAGGTACCATATTTGTGTTGTGACGATAACAATACCCTAGGCACATATAATTTGTACAAAATTGCATCTGGCACCTGGGATTTACAACCTCTGCGACCCTAAGCTTTCTTTCAAACCAAAATGAGTGTATAGTCTCACCAAAATAGCCTCTTTGATTGAGGTTTGTGGGAGAGAAGGTGTCAACAATGACATGAGGTGACATTACACTCTTCATTTTGATTGATGACAAGTGCTGATTAGTTGCCGCACCTCCGTGCCTCCATAAATTGCACCATAAATCATGTAATTAGCAAAGGCAGCCTCCAGTGAGTCTCAAATGCAAGTTTGCAAGCCTTGAAATGAGGTCAATAAATCTCCGGGGAGATTTTTATGACTGAATTGGTGGTTGGCTTTAATGGCTCATGATGTTTGCATGATTTGATTTCTGCTGAGAATACCTGCATGAGTCTTGCAGCAGGTTCTCACTTGCAGGTAGCTGTTTCCAAGTAGGAGGATAATGTGGTTATCGCTGCGTAGTATCTCTTAAAGGTGGAATCCAGTCGGGCTCCTCAGAGAGGCGCTCTGCAGGGAAGATTAGAGTTTCAACAAGCTATTGTTGTTTCTAAGTGGCAGATAAGAGCACTCTCTCCCTGACTGAAAACACATGACATTGTGTTTGCAGTGGGTGAGACATAATCCGCTGGGAGGTTCTGCTGTGGAAATACACCAGCGCAGGATGTAAGGCTTCGAGGGTCAACCCCTGCAGACTTGAATTAATCGAAACCATAATTACCTCCTCGCTAACGAGCGAGTTGTCTTGAACGGCAGCCAGGTGTTTTGCAGGAAGCAGTTTGGGACACTTTGGGTTTGGGGTTCACCCATCTGCACACACAAACACACTCCAAGAACCTGAGTGAGTTGTGCAAACACTTCGGCAGCCGTCAGTGCTCTTCTCTCACCACATCCATTCATCTTCTTGAGACGACTCCGGTCCCGCAGCGCTGCAGCTTTCCCACCTTGGGAGCCAGATAGGAAGCTGCGGTATGATTTTCACATTTGTTACCCTGTGACAACTCCTCCGAACATATGCGTTTCAGAGCAACCTCTTTTGCCCCTGCAGCCCCGTCAGAGGAGCTCAACGACCCCTTCGCTCACCACCGTGCTCCAAATGTGTGCACTTGTATTGACTTTAACCTGGGTGTTATTCAACACTGTTGTTTAAATATAACTTGGAAAAGTTCCAATAACTTCTTCATAAAACTGAACTGTAACTGAACATTTAAACTGCTACCACATGCAGTGACAGAAGATATTTATCTTTACTTGTAGATATTTATCTAGCACTTAGCTACTTGTTTTACCTGTCTGTCCATGTTCTGCTAACTACACTTAAGTATATACTGTTGATTCTCCGTAGAAACCTTTGGTCTTGACATACTTTGACACTCATATTTTTGGAGAGCAGAGCTAAAGAAATTTCTTGAATGAGAGGTGGAACATCATCAAGAACCAAAAAGAGAGCTTTTTACTGAAGCTCTTAGGATTACCATGACCTGGATGACTGAGAATCTACACAGACACCCACCATGTACACCACTACACCACACCACACTGCAAAAACTGCTCACCAACACAATGAAAGTGTTGACTGTGCTTCCACATTTCCCAGATTTCAATCTAATCCAACACCCACTGGTTGCACTGGGGCTCCAGGGTCTGGTTATTTTCATTGTCTGTTAATCTGTTGGTTCTTTTCTCGATTAATTCGTAGTTGTTCAGGCTATGTAATGTTGCAGAAAACACTGATGACCTTTTCCCAAAGTCCAAGAAGACAGTCTACCTGCAATTGTCTTGTTTTGTCCATAACCCAAAGACTATCAGTTTACTGTCATAGACGTGTAAAAGAAATCAGAAAATCTAAGAAGCTGGAATCAGAGCATTTAGACTTTTTTCTTCAAAACATCCTCACATTAATTTATTCACTTCAAGTAAATCAGTTGATTAAATGTTGCAGCTCTACCTCAACATTTTTCAGTCGCTGGCTACGGCCTTGACAGTTTTAATCCCAACAATAGGGGTGACTCAGTGGTCAAGGCTTTAGGTTACTGATTAAAGTCGGGCATTCAAGCCCTTACCATCCTAGTGTCACAGACATTGTGTTCTGACCCCAGGTTATGTGAAAAGAGAATTTCACAAGCTTTAGTCAAGAGAGTATTTTATGAAAAACATTTTGGGAACATGCGTAAAACCGTCCTCAACTGTCTGCAAGAAAGAGACTACTGAGAGAATCACCAAGACACTGACAGAGTTATAAGCTTCATGTGAGAGACCGGCAAACAACAACCGTTGTCTGTTCTTCAAAGTTTTATGGGAGAGTGGCAAAGAAACAAGCCACTGTTGAAAAAAATGCTCATATTAAATCTTAACTAGAGTTTACCAGAAGGCATGGAGGAGATTCTGGAGTCAAGAAAAAGGTTGTTTGGTCTGATGAGACCAAAATCGAGCTCTTTGGCCATCAGACTAGACACCAAACACTGAACATCATCGCAAACTCACCATCTCCACTGGAAAGCATGGTGGTGGCAGCATCATGTTGTGGGAATGCCTTATGGCAGCTCGAAGGCTCGTAAAGGCAGAGGGTGAAACGAATGCAGCAAAGTATAAGTAAACTAGCTTGTGCAATCACTTTTCTAATCTTCTATATTTTAATTTAATTGATTTGACTTTGTACAAATCTGTTTTCACTTTGACATGAGAGAATCATGTCTGTAAATTCTTGTCGAAAAAGAAAAAACGTCACTTAAACTGCTCTAAAAATGCTTTTTATAGGCACTGTACAGACTGTACAAGTGCTACTGGATGGAAGAGAATGTGTGCTCTGCGTGGGTTAAAGTCTGTTTAACATGTTTTCTACTGTGTGCATCTGTGTGTATGCATCAGCAACTTAGTCAGCAGGTGTGCGTGAACTTGCCACTTGCAGGGTGACAGGTTAGAGGCCCTCAGGCTTACTTAGCAGGCAGGAACGACTGAGCGCACTATTCCTCAGACAATACGCTACTATGCTCTGCCCTGCACCTGTGTTATGTTTTCATGCTGACAAAGATGTGCTTTCCTCTTTGTGGGCTAAAGATCTGCTTTGTTTCCATGACTCAGAGACTAAAATAGTGAAGCTGCCACCAACTCCGAACTAAGGCTCTTTGTAGTAAAAAGGCCACATACCTTCTAACACACAAACACAGCGGCGAATGGTTAGCAAATGGGTGGCATGTGGATTACTCACGTTGTAAGACTGGCACACAAATGCTGAGTGAACACAATTCGCTTGGCTTTTATTCACCTCTTGTTTGCAGTGCGCGACAAAAACTCATATTGTACAGTTTGCACAGTGTGATTTGATACATCTTGTATTTGCCATAAAATAATCTCATCATTCAGCATCTGCAAACTGCATGGCGGAGGGAAAATACATTTACAAAAGTGACATCCAAACTCTAAACATGTAGCGTGACAGTTTTATGACATATGGGCATTTGACAACAAGTCACCACATCAAAACCAGAGAGTATTTATTCAAAGCACTTGTGATGTTGTCACTGTTATGACTTGGAACAAACTGAAGCATGTAGGAGCAGGAAAACTACTTTGTGTCACTGTCAGTGTCAAGATCATCCAATCAGAGAAAATATACTACTGCCCCCTGGTGGACCCAGAGAACACCATGACCATGAACTCTAATATCACTTCACAGTTTATACAAATGCTGACGACGTTCTGCGGCACAAAAATCCTCAAATTGTCATACATATGAACCCTCAGAATCCTAAAACTTACCAGCGAGTTTGAAAGGAATATTATCATTCCTAAAATCTCTAATCTGCAACATTTATCAGGACCAGAAGCTGTAAAAACAGAGAGAATCGTTGGATTTTCAACTTTCTCTGAACTATTATTGTGTGACATGCAGTTCTGTTGGGAAAATTAGCCAAACCTAAGCTTATGTTGTCAATATTTAATCTTAATTACTTTATTCTACATTTTAAATTTTGCCAAAAACAAACCATCTGCATTGACCAGATTCTGTAAAAAACAAAAAACTCTGCCCAATGTGATGCAACTGTGAAATCATGAGTGACTCAGCTGTGACCAACAGTCTAGTAGTAAAAATTCAGGGATAATAATAATATAAAATATGTATAGTTTGTAAAGCCATCCCCAATAATAGAATGAGCTGGGGACACATGCTTTGCAAGTTGATTCCACATTTTGTTTTGCTTTTTTCTTGTATTTTTGTTAAATAAATAAAAACAAATCAACTTATTGTTTTACATAATAAATCATTTTTGAGTTCCCTCTACTTCTAGCCATGGTTGTGCCAAAGGTTCAGGACTTTATATTGCAGTGAAACGAGTCCACAGTGAATAAAAATGTGACAAGAGCAAAATTCACCCAAAAACTGGAGGATTCAACCATTCAGTGACCCCCTGTGCCCTGAAGAATTTACATTCATTATCTTTTTATGCTAATTTTAGGGATTTTTCTCTTTATTATGTCAGCAACTTGTAGATTACAGAATATACCAACATCATTTTTATAAGTTGTTGTTTGTGTTTATGAAAGTTGTTGCCTGAAGAATCTCATTTAAAAAGGAATCGACCAGGAATCCCTTAAAAGTTTCTTCCTCTGTGTGACATGCAGCAGTATTTTCCTTTGCTCGGAGCAGTTTGTGAGTCACCAGACTCATAGTGTGTCTGTCATGACTCCTTAAATCAAAACCTTCAGTCTCACTCGCCGACACAAATGTGAATGGCGTTGACGAGTATTGTTTGTCAGACGAGGATTGTTGAATTAGCTGTCCATGTTTCTTCTTTTTAGTTTGTGTCTCTTTATGTGCAACTACATTTGCATTATTTCTTGGAAAGAAACTTCATTTTGTTCCCTGAAACAATGGAAAGAAACAAAGAGTGGTTACAGCGAGAGTGAGCCGAAAGCAGGTGACTGTAATAAAGCAGTTCTAGCGGAATACCACAGAATCATGCTTACCCAAGCCTTTGAGAAACCTGTTAACCCTCCGATGTTCATTCTCGTGGATAGAGTCCAGATACTCCTGCACTCTCACTTCAAACAGTCCTGGTGAGAGAAAAAAATCTCATGAATCACTGGATGACTTCCAAACACCTGAACCTCCTCCTTCTACTGTACCTCTCAGAGCCTGTCTGTGGAGCTCCCTCTCTTGGATGAACCAGCCAAACATCTGGGTCTCCATGAAGACCTCCAGGAAGCGACGCATCGTCTTGGATGGGATCGCTTTACGAAAACCCTCCCGCTGGAATGAGCAGGGGACGGGGGAGGAGGACGAGGAGGAGTAGCCGTCCTCCCGTTCGCCGGTGATGAAGAGCGGATAGTGGCCTACCAGCTCCACGAAGAAACGGACGAAGGCCTCGGACACGACGGTGCTGAGCTGGCCAGAGTCTGAAGACATACAAACAGAAAACACTACAAATTCAAGCTCCTGCTGAACAGTTTAGAAGTAAAGTTGCTTCTTAGAAACATCCAGCCCTTCCTGAAAGATACCAAAAGCAATTTAATGGCTTTCTGGACACACATTCGAGATCACTTGAGGGTGAATCCCACCAGCTTCTCCTCTAATACCACCATGAGGCTGACACTTGTGGTTTTGAGTGTTTAAACAGATACTTGATGGATGAAGTTACTAGATGAAATCAGGTAGTAAACTTGAGGTAAATGTTGTACAATCTTTCGCATTGCTAAACCAGTTGTAGCACAACCCTAAACAGCTTCATGCATGGCCCGCCACAGTCTACAGCCTGCAAAAAAGGGTTTCAACCAGAAACATGTGTCCTTGTTGTGCCTCACCATTGGTTGTATCTCCTCCTCGCTCATTAGCAAGCTCTCTTCTCCTCTCCAGAACATTGTCCAGGGCTGATTGGAGCTTCGATGGCAGGATGGAGTCCTCATCATCCAACTAAATGTGACAAAACGGCAAAGAAAATGTTTTTCCAGGAGTGTTAAGGCTGCAATTACTTGCTTCTAGAAAGATCATGCAGAACCACAAAAAAAAAATAAAACTAATGACCTACCTGTCTGAGGAATCGACTGTTTCCAAGATCAACAACCAGAACCTGTGCACAATAAATTCATTAGTACTGATGTAATTAATGTGGTCACAGCTGTTTGCAAGTAACATTTAGGATAAGATAATCCAAGAAAAGAAAAGAAAACTTTATTAATCCTGAAGGAAATCCTTGAATTCCCAAATGTGGCTTCAGTTTCATGCAGAACTTTCAGTTCTCCTCTCTGACCTCTTCCAGGGGCAGCTCGGTGAGTTGGGGCAGCGAACTGGACAGCAGGCCGACGATGAAAGGAGTCGGGGTGCAGACGATGTCGAGCATCGCTGAGGGCAGCACGGGGATGTAAGTGTGCTGCCATACGAAGGGGTACAGCAATGCCACGACCGCATGACAGCACTGGGAGAGAGTGCTGCAAGGAGAGAACAGGGAAAAATCATGATGATGGGCTTGTAATTGCTTCAACTTACTTAGTGTTGCCACATGAGGGCACTACAGAGCAGACATTGAGTGTTCCCTGAAGCGAAGACATTTCCCAGGGAGAAAGGCGAGGCCACATACTTGTTTCATTGACATCACTGGGCTTCACATTCCTGTCCTCTACTACTGTGACCGCTCTTTCGGACTCCCACTGGATTTCTTTGGCAGAACAAACAAACTGGCCCCAGCGCAACAACAACTCAACAGCCTTGCCCTTAAAATATCTCTCTGGTATGTTTCCTGAATAAAATACCATCAAATTTATTCAAAAATGTGGATCTGGACCACCCGTATTCCTATACCTTCATGTTGAAAGTATCCCTTCCATCTCCACATTTACTCAAGCAAAGGGTAGAAAAAAGTTCAGTGAGATTTTAATCAGGAGAGCTGTCACATAGTGGGATGATACAGATTTTAACATATTTAGTGGAATGTGGCTCCACCAAAGGGACCTGCCTGAGTTTTTCAGCGGTGAAGATGACGCGTCTTTCCAGCAGCAGAGAGCCGAACACCCTGAGGAGCAGCCGCAGACTCAAACAGGAGAACAGACATTCAAAGTCCACGTGTTCCAGACGTGAGTCGGAGGGTCGACAGAGCTCCATCACCTGGGAAATAGAGAAAATAGCTCATTATAAATACTGCTGACACAGGAAGACTGATTTAAAATGTGGGTCCTGTCACATTTTCACTCACTGTGGGATCATTTTTTACTGCGATATAAAGTCCTGCACCTCAATTGAATCGGCACAACTATGGCCAGAAGTAGAGAGAACTCAAAGATGTGTTTTGTGTAGACTGACACAGTTGTAATTCCATATATCAAAGAAATGTTGAATTTCTTAGCTGGAGGTATCAACAAATGAGTACTTTACATACTATAATATTTTGCTACTTACATTTATATTTTGTTCCTGTACTTGTTGTCTATCTGCTCTGCGTAAACACAACCTGCAGTTCAGCCGAGCAGTCCCTGAACTTTTGTGATGTGACTTTTGGTTGCAAGAAATTACACGTATTTCCTCATTTTAGCTTCCTTTATATGCTTCATTTCAACATCCAGTACAATTCGCCGCTACAGTTTGCCGTCTTGGTGCTCGAGCATCTCTCACCTCCGTGCCTGAGCCGGGAAGAAAAGTTTTGATGTTGATGGTTCTGCCAGGAGCTGGAAACTGGGCCTCCATGATGGCTCTCATGAACGGTTGCACCAGGGCCGGAGACAGAGCCCTCCGCCTCTCCACCTCATCCAACACCTACAACACACACATACACACACATACTTTACACATTTATTTTACACCATGTCAGTGATATCCTGATATGGGAGTGCTTTACCTTGGAGAACAGGTTGAAACAGCCAAGGTGACTGACTATGCAATAGACCTCTGGCAGACGTTTGCCTTTTCCGCTGGGCTGCAAAGAAGGATGAAAAATCAGAGCAGTGTATTTTTTAGGTTAACAGCTAGATTTAGAAAGTAGCTGCAAGATTTCAACAGAAAGCAAATGACGCAGGAACAGTGAGACACACAAACTTTGTAGAGATACATAAACAGAAACGTATGCACACCCACACGCATACAGTTCCCAGTCTCACACACTTCCGGCCCGACTCTGAGACGGACTGTTTTCCCACAGGCACACCGACTTATTTTGGCACGCTTATTTACTCAGCCGTCATCATGGTATTTACCCACTTCCTGTTCAGCAACAGCACACTTATTTATTCTGCTCATTTCTGTTTACCAGTAAACGGCGGCAGTACCCGAACCTCCTGCTCCCGTCCTCTCCGGTCAACACAAAGGAGAACATCTCGCTGCCGGGGATGAGCCACAACAAATACAGATATATGAGTGTATTTTTATTGGACACATGGAAAATACACATGTATAATTATGGATACTTATCATCTGTAAAGGCTGATATTTGTAATTTAGCTCTCAAGCATCAGCAGCCATGTGTGTCATGGGTTAAAGAAACTTTTCTTGCGGTACTAACAGTTGGATTTTCTATTACATTGAAATATATGGTTTTGGGACTCTCACCTTGGGTAGCTCTCCACAGGCTCCCAGTCTTTGGCATCAGGAAAACAGAACTGAGGGATGATCCTCAGCTGATCCTCCGTCTCCCTCATGAACTTGAAGCTTCGCTCCAACTGCACCATAACAAGAGAAAACAACATTTTCATTCACTTTTTTTTTGCCTTATTTTGATGCATAATTGTTCTTTATCAACCTGAAGAGGTTTGTTCTTGTGGACAAATTGAAGTTTACTATCTTAACTTTAGGTAGACTGCAACTGATCAATTTTGCTTCAAGATAAACATGTAAAATATTGATTTTGTTAGCAAATTAATTCAGCAAACTTTTAATTTTTCAGCTAAAAATACCACAAAGATGATTCATATCACCATTACTGTATAACTCTTGGTTTTAGTCCTGATCTGAACGGACTGTTTCAGCATCTGTAACTTTAAATGTAGCTGAGCTAGTGCTGTCCATGCCCCACTCAGGAAGAAAATCTCTCTGCGCTTGTAATTGTCAGTGCAGAGCAAAACAGCTGACAAAGTGGCAGCTGAAACAGTTGTGAATGAGTCTATGAGGTCAAAATTTTCTCTCTGAGCAATCATTTTACACACAAAAAAGCAAAATTCCCAATATAGTCGCTCTTTTTTAACTCATGTGTTTGATAAGTTTGTCAGACAATGTTGTGATTATAAAATCAGTAATTTGAAGTGACGGATGGTTAACATGTCTTAATGGGTTTCAGTCACTATTTCATGCTCATACTATTGTCTGACAGCAGAAACAGAAAAATATGTAAATGAGAACATGTTTATGAGGATTTGGACATATTAAAATGTAGTATATGTGAGCACAGAGAGCAGGAGAGAAGCAAACAGATGTAAACATCAGCTGAGTTTAGGTTGCACTGAAGCACAACATGTGATCGATCTTGTCCAAGTGACTCAAGCTAAGTGGCTTTTTCTGAATTGTTTTAAATACCTTATTTGCCCCGCTTTCTATTTTATGCATTTAGCCCTACATTAATTTTCCACTAAAAAAGGCCTCAATTCAAACACTCCTCTGCTCCTGACCTTTGGGGGGAACTGCTGTGTGACCTCCGGCAGATAGTGGCCGCCAGACTTTGACTTCTGCAGTGACACAACCAGGAAGTATTCAAAAAGCTTGCGCTGTTCCAGAGAGCTGGTGTTGGTACCGTTGAAGTGGACCTGAGCCTGGTTCTGCTGGCTCAGTATGGACTTGACTGACACGAGGCGCTGACGATGAGCTGGAAAAGATGCGGTAAGTTGGAGTACGTTTAAAGATGTGAGTGGAAACTATGAAGTAAGACAAGGGAGGTTCTCTGGGATTAAGAATAATCCCCTACCTTTTGCTCTTTCTTCAACTTCACTCTCAGAGTCGCTGTTCTCATCTGTTACTATAAACGGAAGCCAAAAATCCACATTTTCACTTAACAGTGGAAGAAATAACATTTAAAGAAAGTTTAACTTGTTCAAGATGGTTTCACCTCTTCCTGAGCTTGTCTCAACATAATGATAGATCCTTCTGAGAGGCTTTTTCCTGATCCGACCCTCAAATATGCTGTTGATCCTCAGTACAACCTGTTGGAAAACGTTAAGTGTCAGTGTGACTAGAGCATGATGTGTTTTGGCCACCTCACAGAAACCTAGCAGCCAAACTGGACTAAAATTAAAGACTAAAGAGATTAAAGTTTAAATGAAAGAAATGCTGGTGATTCTGCATTAGAAAATGTGCATTCGGACCGTTGGTATCCTGCGGCAGGTTCGGCTGTAGGAATCTCCAAGCAGCCATTGGGTGTGTTCTGGCCCGTTGGGGGTGGATGGAGGGCTGAGTTGGGGTGGAGATGAAACGCCTCCACTGCCGGCGCTGTGGGTCGACTGGTTGGTTCTGCGCAGGTCCAGCAGCTTAAAGCTCCTGGCTGAATTCTGCCTGAAGAAGCCGGGTCTTGACGGCTATGAACATGAAAACCATTGTTAATCTTTTAGAATCACCTAAAGCAAGTGGCTGCTGGATTATATTTCTCTTAAACTTCAGGAACCTTGGTGGTATCAGCGCCAGGAGAGGAGGGCAAAGACTGCTGGGAGCACTGACTCTCCAGCTCTATGTCCTCATACGGGTTCTCTTTGGACGAGTCTGCACAAAGACAAGAAACAGACATGTTTGGGTCAAGTGTTTTCTAGTTATTGATCATGTGGACTTAAATGATCAGACGTTTAGTGTCAGATAGGATTCTTATTCTTTCTAGTGCGAATAGCAAATGTTCAGTAAATAGGTAATTTATTCAAAAGTCGTTCTTGAGTGCAAATTTGAAGTACTTGTACTTGAGTCTTTTCTTTTCATGACACTTTCTACCTCGTCTCCACCAGCCTGTAAAATATCTGTAATTTACCCCTATCTGTAATTTAAACACTAAAAAGCCAAACAAATAGATTTGATCTCATGTGAAATTAAGGCTCGAAAATGTTTTTTACTGTGCACGTCTCAGAGAGAAATATTCTCTGTTTTACTTTACCATTTATTTTTCTGATAACATTTGTGACTGCTCCTGTTACTTTTAATACTTCAAGTATATTCTCTTAATTATAGCTGAAACAAAAAAACATTTACAAAAAAAAACTCTCTGGTTGTAGTTTTTGTTAGTACAGCATCTCAATAGTTGTTCACAGAGGGGCACAGAGATAAAATTATGTTAATTTTCACAACATAAATAAGGATTACGTAATGGAAAAAACTGCTCCATTGGTCCTCTTGTGACTCTTAGACTTATTTTGTGATCCTTGTCTGACAGTAAGCTGGCTAAAAACGTACTCTGAGAGCAGCTACAATAGTAAAGCACTTGTTAAACGTTGTTAACATTAACAATGTAATATTATAATATGTCAGTTAGCAGTGCCTTTTATGAGGAACTTTTATATTTCTTACTTACTAAATAATCTGAGTACTTTACTTCAACTATTGCATCTCTTACTTCCCTTCATTAACACTTTTTATATTAAAGATTTTAAAGAGGAAGTCGGTAAATGACAACAAACGAAAGGTGTCTGACCCAAGATGTCTTCATAGTGATGTTCCTGAGACAGTGAGCGAGAGAACAGTGGGCTGTTTGACCCTCCGAGGTCTTCAAACTCAAACGATCTCCTGTCGCAGGAAACAGAAAAGTACAAATGATTACATGATGCATTCTCTGACTTTGGCTGTTTGTGTAGAGCTTCCTCACAGAACAGCATCATATCTGACATTAGTGTAGCTTTCAGAGGAGTCATTGGTGGCCTCCCTTATTCATCTCTTTCTTGCATAGTCACTCAGTTTTTGAGAAGGACATAGGCAGATTTCAACATGTGCCATATCCCTTCCATTTCTAAATGATGGATGTAACTGTAGTCCAAAGGATATTCAGTGATTTGGAAATTTCATTGCATCGATCCCCAGAGTTATGCTTTTTAGTAACCTTTTCATAGAGCTACTTGAAATGTTCTTTTCTCTTCATGGTGTTTTTACAGCCAGGAGTACTGACACCAGTGACTGGACCTTCCAGATACAGATGTCTTTACATTTCAATCCCTTGAGACACATTTAATGCTCTCAGATGACCTCCAGTTCACTATAACTTTTAGCACCAATTCCCTATATCATATTATATTTTTAATTAGTTGTAGAAATTTGTTTTCACTTTGACATGAAAAAGTTTTGGTTTTTTTTTAATAGAAATTCTTGTTCAAAAAGCCAAATTAATTTGACCATGATTCAGTGTTGACAAGCACTTAAACTGGATAACTTGCAAGGGGGTAAATACTCTTTATAAACGTGTCTGCATTTTTACTTTTTTCTGATCCATACATACCTGTTGAGGTTATCTCGGACTGTCTCCCCCCTGGATCTCCCGTAGATACCAGAAGGAGGTTTTGAGGCTGTTTTTGAAGACATGGAGGGCAGTGGGGGGAGGTTTCTCTGCCCTCTGCCCTGCCTCTGGCTCTTTCCTGTGGGGGAAGTAACTGGGTGCTGGAAGGTACGTCGGGGTTTGGGGACTGGGTTGATGGGAGGCATACCCGGTTCTGTGTACACGTTTTCCTGAGAATCCTTCAAGTCTCTTGCCCCGTTACTTTGACCAAAAGCTTCAAATTCTTTTTTCTTCGCCTCCGTGTGTTTGTCCTTGCTCGGTGGGCTGAAGTAGTTTCCGAGCTCTGGAGGGGTTTTCCCCAGGTTCTCGCCCATAGCCTCCAGCTTTTTGAAAAGACTGAATATGGCTCTCTTCTCCTGGCTTGTTTGTTCTGCTGCTCTCCTGTCGTTGCTCTTTCTTAGCGTCCCCACCTGTTGCTTCTCTGTCGCTGTCGGTGAACAAGGCCTTGAATCTCCAAGTTTTTCTACATTCTCCTTCTCGTGATCTTGCTTTTCTTTATGTACAACAACTCGTCTACAGTCCTCCACCGTTTGGTTGTCATTGGACTTGCTGCTATTGAGTGTTGCTCTTTGTTGTTTAGGTGAGCAAGGCCTTGAATCTCCTGCATTCTTTTTTCCAAGATCCTGGTTTTCCTTATGGGCTCCTCTCCTGTAGCTCTCTGCACTCTGTTTATCAGTTGAGTTATTGCTCTTTGTTAGGGATTCTGTCCTTTTTACACTGGCACATTGGCCTAAAGTACCTGAGGTAAGAGGCGAATGGGTGGGCTCTTTGCCCTCCCATAGAGAAATCTTGTCCTTAATGTTGCCTCTGTTGGATCTGGACGACTTGGTTCCCACCAAGAGAGCATTGTCATTGCTGTGATGGTCAAACGTCGGCCTCCTGTGAGCCATCATCGATGAATCTACCCTCTGGTTGCTCAGGTTGTCTAATGGGGTGAAGGGGACTTTCAGTATCCCCTCTCGTCTTTGCTCAGGTCCCTTGTTTTCCAATGAAGCAATGTGAAAACCACTTCTCCCACCAAGAGAGTCCCTCTTTAGCCTAAACGCACAAAGACAAACACTTTACAATGCCGAAGGTCAAGTGTGTGGAATCTAGTAGCAGTGAGGTTTCAGATTGTAACTACCAAATAGTTGTAGTATTCCAAGCATGTAAGAAAACTTATGGTAGTCATGAAAGGCTGCTTCTAGAGCCATTGTTTGGTTTGTCCATTTTGGGCTACTGTACAAACATGATGGTAAAACATGGTGGATTCCATAGAAGAGGGACGACTCTCTTTGTAGATAAGAACTTCCTTACTCTATAATATAAATAATGTTCACTTTTACATTGGTAGCCTACATGTACATTTCCTAAATCTTTGCTGCTGTAACCTTGCAAATTTCCAATCAAGTGAAATGTGTAGTCAATGAGAATTTCTCTGTAAGCACATACCTTCCTACTGAGTACCAGAATTCTGTCAAAAAATAGAAATAAAGCAATAAAATGCTCACAAAAGCCTAACTGACTGCCACTAAAGCGTGCTGAACTTCCCAGTATGCTCGCAGTGACTACCAGTCAGGGGACACTCAGTCTTTTTATGGCGACAGTGGGAAAACTGAGCCTGAGAGTAAATGCCAGAGGACAAGCCTATGACCGAGCATCTTCTTCTCATCGGCCTCGCTAAATAAACACATACTTGGACTGAGGCCCATTTCATCAAACTGTTATGTTTTAATAAATAAACGGGAGGAAATGGGAAGCCCTTAGTTGAAAGACCTTTTCTGACTTTCCCTTAATGGGTGTGATGATTAAACTGCAGAAAAAACCCTTTTTCTTTGTTTCTCAGGCTTCTGGTTCCTGCTAAACGTGTTCAGATACAAACCTGTTGACTGTGGAGTAGATGTAGTCCTGCTTTGTTTTCATTATTTCAGCAGCCTCCATGATCACTGTACACCTGAGAGAGAGGGAGACAGAGATGAATCTGCAGTTTTCAGTCACATCCTGTCTGGCTTGTCTCCAGATCACAATTAGTGTCAGGCTTTTTCAGTTACATTGTCATATCGTTTTCACATTACATTTCAGTACGAGACAGTCCCCTCGGTAGGAATTCATGGGACAGCTGTGCAGACTCAAGGAAAGACTCGACAGCGAGGGACTCCCTGAAGCAGTTCATCAACTAGCTTTTCATTCAGCATTCATTTGGGAGCTCTTGCATGATTGAATCACTCTTCTCTCCTTTGCTATTTCGCTGTAGGGCTCCTTTTTCTGGCACTTTGTCCCTACAGGATTCTAACCTTTGACCTCCACAGTGACTGAAACGATCAGCTCTCCTCGTCTTCGTACTTTCACATCTCTGAGGTTAATGTTTCAAAGTTCAGTGTCCTCTAAGATAGCACTTAGTAGTTTCCCAGATCTGAGGCTGCTGTCATCATTTGTTTGGTTAATATGTAGTCCAAATGACATTGTGCATGAGCAGAGGGACTTCATGCAGCCCTCAAAGCTGGAGCTGATTGAACACAAAACAAGCACTGAGATGCGTAGTTGCTGTGTGATTAAAAAGGCAGCAAGCTTTCCAGAGCTGCACAATCAATCAAAAACATACATGGTTATTATTGAATGTGCAGGAGGCTTTCTTACACACAAAAACATAAATAAGTATGTTGCACATTTTATTTTTTAACCTCATGAGTGCATTTTTTCCACCTATAACTTAATTTCGTCATTTATTTATAATAAACCTCAATAATTCTGTAATAGTGCATTTCTTCTGGCAAAGACAGTCATAATTTTCAACATTCTGTTTTATCAAATTAAACCTTACCTCCCTCCGTTGTACAGTTTCCGTGTATTTAGGAGTGAAATGGGAGCAGGAAGCATCCGATGCTTCATTAACAGTATCCATTGGTATAATCTCCAAACCAACGTAGTTTCCTTTATGTATGTCCACGTAAAACAACCTGAAACTGGTTTTCTTGCTTGATTTAAGCCTCGAAGAGATTCTTCTGATGTTTAATTGAATAAGCCATGGAGGCATAAAAGCTTCACCTCAAACTAAAGCACAAACCCTCCTCTCTCTGCCTCTTCTCCAATCTTCAACTTTCATTCACCCTCTCTCTCTCTCCCCACAGCCTGGATCTGACTTCCTCCCTCCCTCCCTCTCTGTGTCTCTCTAACTTAAGCAAATAGCTTTATAGAACAAGTGACTGAATCTCCAAACTACTGACAGTAAATGCCGCAAATATTTTTTCAACTAGCTGCCTAGGAATTTGTGACGCATGGGACAGTCATCATCGTATTACGTGATTTCCCTCCAAATCTGAAGTTGATTGGAATTTATGTCACAACTGTTTCTGAGCTGCAGTTGCTCATGCAGCTGCAGCAAAATCCTCCCTCACTGTCTGACCAGTGATGTATGTTCACCTCCATACACAAACGGATGGTTTGTCAGTGACACTTGTAAACTTCAGGGGAAAAAAAGAAATGGCAATAGACGTATAGGAATATTTTAGACTTTTTCCTGTTATTTTGCTTTTTGAAAGTCTTCCTGAAGAGCTTGGTGAAGTTGATGTCATGTTATCAGACACGTCCATTTTGAAAAATGGCACAATTATGGATGCTGAAGTGCCTGGCTATGGCCTTAACTGATATGCCAGCATCCAGTATGATGATAGCCTTTGTCATTTGGATAAAGTTGCATTTCAAAGCATTTTAAAGTGACTTTTATAGTCACTGGTTAAAGAAGTGTATTTGTACTGGTCACACTATCTGGTGGCAGATTTGTCGCCACTTCAACGACCTCAAAAACGTTTTGGTGCGAACTGAATATAACCTTTTTCTAAGCATACCACTAGAATAGACACAAAAGAAGACCATTTACATTTTTGTTCAGTATAGATGTATTTGATTCTTTATTTATGTATTGTTGATGTATCTTTTCTTATTGCTCATTTATTTAATTGCTTACTTACTTATTATACACTGTGTTTAAACAGTCTGAGTTGACCAGAATGCTGTAACTATTATGAGGCAATCAACATTCAAATTGTGAAATTATATAAAACAAATCTAAGATACTAAAAACTACTTAAAACAGGAAAACAACTTGTAAGATAGAATTTGAAAGGACTGCAAACACTAAAAGCAACCAAAAGCCATTTAAAATGTCTTATCTTAAGGTTTTTCCTAACAATAGATACTAAAGATATAATACTGTCTGATACACAGTCAGTCACAATGAACACTTAGAGTAATATTCATTCTGAATACAGTTTAAATACATGTGTAATTAACAAACTAGTATCACTGTTGGGGTCTTACCAGAATTTGAGCTCAGTGCTGGATCCCTGCTGCAGCTTTTAATGACCGTATTTTTGGCGGTGCAGCTTTTAAACTGTTCAGAAATCTGCCTGTAGCCAATGACAGTTTGGTTTTAACCAACAAGTGTCCCAGTGACAGGTGGGAGCTGAACAGCTGTAGTGTTCTTTCTGCTGGTCTCTGGTCCCAGCTGTGTGTGCCTGAGCCTGCAGTTCCACTCCTGACCTGCAGGTGGCAGCACCGCGCCGCTGCGCTCTGCGGACAGCGACGTTCACAGGAATCAACAGTAAACACTTGACTGTCGCTACATCGAGAGCAAGGTAGCTAACAAGAACCTGGACTCAGAGGTGAGAAACAGCTTGTTGCTCTTTTCTTAAGAGTTTGTAGCTATCAGGAGTTTGTTCGTAGACATTTGTTGTGAGTTTAAGGTGTAAAAAAAACCCGGAAGTGAGTGTGTAGATAAGCTGTAGCTAACACGCAGTACGTGCTTTGTCACATAGACTGTTTATTAGCTACAGCTAGCAAACACTGTGTGACAGAAGCTGCTCTGTTGGTGCCAAATTCTCCCTCTGACAGAAATAAAACTCTGGCGGAAATCAGTGCTAGTGCCTGAATAGAAGCTGACGTATTTTATCGTAAATAATAGATGTGTTGCTCATCTAAAAACCAGCTGATATTCTTTAAACACATGTGGTGACACGACGGGGCACAAACAAGCTAATTTGATGCTGGTGACGTCCTGTTTGTTTCATAGTAATGTGGGGAAGATAGTGTTAAGCTCTCGGTCCTACCTGTCAGATCGTGTTTCTACAGGGATTTAAATATCACCACAAGACGCTTAAAAAAAAAAAAAAAGCTGGCAAGTCTAATTAGCCTTTTATAGAGCTTTTCTTACACACCTTTCCAGGTAACAGCCTGGGAGTCACGGGTCAGTAGTGTGAAACTCCTAAATGCAGAATTTCCTTGTGAATTTCTGTCCAAAGAAAAACACAAGGTACTGTCTGTAGAGATAGTCCTGGTAAATACATGATGCCCTGGAATGCACAAACATTATTAAATATGTATCCCTCCACTTCAATCTTTTGTCATTGTGAAAAGGTCACAGTCACATGCTGCGGGGTTTTTATCGTGTTTGTTTTAGAACTACTGTACAACCAAAGTGTACACAAACTCCTGCTGATACTGAGCCTCCATGGTGGAGTCGTAGACAAACATTTATCAAGGAAGTACAATTGTGGCCGTTGACTTTCATATCATTCTTTTTATAGGAACAAGTCAGTCTAAGTTATGTATCAAATAGAAATGATCGATCTGGATTCCAAAACATAAATCCACTAATTCCCTGTAAATTTAAGCGAGCACTTCTCATTCCTGTTTGTGTAGTGTTTTACAGCACAGACAGATTCATACAACTTAAACTGGCATGAAAGGAAACCGCAGGCGACATTTGAGTGTTGATAGAACAGTGAAGCAGCTCAACTCGCCTCCAGACTACAAGAATTTTCCACAGATGTTTTCATTACAGTTGCTGACCTTGTTGTTATTGAACGGTCTGGCTGCTGCCGGTATCTGCGATCTGTTAAATCCCCTATAAAGTCTTGATCGCTGCTTGAGATTCTCTAGCAGTTCCTTACTGATGGTTCCTCCGTCTCAACTTGTCACTAAAGGTTGTGATTGTGATTTGGCTGGTAATTCTTGTATTTATTAAACATGTATAATCGTGTTTATAGCGTAAGTTCTGGTTGTTGTTGCTTTTAAAATAAGATTTTAGTTAAAAACCCTTTATAACTTTAGTTTTGATAGGTGCTGTATATGTGATGTTTATTATTATTATTTAACAGCCAACAATAATAATAATAAAGTATGTCACAGGGCATCAAAATAAAACAGTCACAAAATCATCACAATTGAAAAATCACGTAAAAACACAACATGGTGAATAAAAACCACTTTCTGTTAGAGGAGGTTAAAGCAAGACTGAAAGATATAAATACAGTTTCAAGGAAATATAAACTCAGATATAATTGGCAATGACTCGGCTGTTAAAGTATGTTTTAAGAAGAGACTTTAAAGATGCCCTGAGTGCAAATGCTCTGCTCTCTTTAGCTTTCAGCCAGGCCCTTAGAGCAGATAAAAGACAAAAGTGCAGTACTAAAATGCCCGACAGTATCAGCAGATACCCTGACCTGGCGTATGAGGACCAAAGAAGATGTATTAGTGCATCCCTGGTTCTTAGTTGAGTCCTGTGTAAACAACATGAAGCATAGCAGCATTACATTAGTCCAGGCTGGTGGGGGAGGTGGAATTTTTTTTTTTAGAGGAACTCCGTGTACACAGCATCCATTCAGACCTGTTTTTGGCAACACACACCTCAGCATTCAGACCAGGTGTTCATATTCGGCTTTTAGCCCATGGGGACGACTGCTTTCTGCTTTCACTGCCTGTCACAGCACAGGAATTGTCCAGGACTGGTTTTAAGGAGCAAGTAAATCAGGAAAAATGATAGTTCTCGCTTTGTCCTGACAGTCTTTGCTGAACTCAAACACAGCTTCCATTGGAAGGAACTTCCACCCTTGAACTCAGGAAAAATGCAGTTGGGTCAGCTTTAACCCTGGGCTGTGTGGTGGTTCTTATTCGGGGTGCAGGTGGTCAAACGTGGGCTTTTATTCTGTGCTCACTGCAACTGGAAAATCCTCCAGTTTTGTGTATCTGTATTATTGCTTAAAGTAAATTCTCTCTGCGTTTGTTGTCCTTGGCAGTCGCACAAAATCCTGTATTCAGTGATAAACAGTAGGGTAAGTATTGATTTGACATTGCTTTCCTTCTCCTAGTGATGTGTTTGTCCCAGCTGCTATAGTGGAGCACTGCTATAGCTGAAACCCCCTCCCTATCCTCGAAGACCTCCACCAACAAAACCTCCGTCCTCCACCTCCTCCTCCCCCCCGGCCGCCCCTGTGATGCCTCCCTCGTGCTGTGGCTATCTGTCACAGTACACCCATCATCATCTGGTTGCCTTCCTCCTCACCTTCTTTAGGTAATCCAGAGTCTCCATCCCCTCAGAGCAGTGCAGCATCGCAAATGCACTTGTTTGGTTTATACTTAACTTTGTGATTCCACTTATATAAACAGAGTAACTGTAAACCTCATGACAGCTAGATAATGTTTCTTTTGTTGCTTTTGTGTTGGTTTTAGGCAGATTACTTGTAATTTCTCCATTGATTTACCCAGAAAAGATTAGATTTTTTATACTCAAATGTCCAAACTAGCCTGTTGAGACCCAACAAACCAGCCAGGTTGCACAGGAAGATGCAAAACAGAAAGGGAATTATTTGTGCAGCTAGTTTAGAAACAGAATGTGAAAGACATGGGCTGGTAATTTAGGTTAAAGGTCTACAGGGCAGGATTAATATAGGCCAGACGCCGTAAAGATAGCGTCAACTATCTATGTTGATTTCAAGCAGACAGGAGTGCTACAGAGACGACAAACATATCAGACTGTTGGAAAATTGAAATGCACAGTTTTGCTGTTGCTACATGTTTTCAGGAAAATAAATTGAATGTGTACAACTACACATTTGTGAAGTGTTTATTGCGAGGATTTTCTAGCCAGTACACTGTGAGTCTTGTTTGCTGCAATGCTCATTTTTAGACCCTGTAAAGAGATTCATGCAGTTTAAAAATAAAGAATGTGCAGCAAGTTAAACATAGATGGACATAAATCATATTTTTGTTGGTAGACTTTATGTGTTTCTTTCTTTCAGCCCAACACAGTGGTTGAGTTAAACTTTGATTGCAGTAGCTTTGGTATCACAAGTCTGTGGTTATGCCACCATGTTTTGACAGTCCTTATCAGAGCAAGGCAAAGTGCCGTCTGCAGCAGCTCACAGAAAACTCTGAATGAGATTTTTTTTTCCCCATTTCTAGATAAAAATGCTGCATTTCAGTGTTTCCTGTAATTTCTCTCAACTCAGTCGAACTGCTGCTACTTTGGAATTTAACCCACTGAAAAAGAATAATTAGCATTTGTGAAGTGACCTTATGTAGCCCGAGACAACAAACAAGAACTTTCTAGGGACTATGAGAAATAACTTCCGTTTGTCAAACCGCCAGCGCGTCTTGTTTTTAGTCTATCAAACAAGCATTGGGGAAAAAGTGACTGGTTCCTCTTCCTGAAATGAGAAATTTGGTGATGCTTATCAGTATATCGCTATCTAGCATCTTTTCCTTTTACTCTCTGATTAAAACTCTGTTGTGTCTGTCCAGCTATGTGTTGCTGCATGCATCCAGGAAGACGTTCAGCAATGTGAAAGTGAGCATCTCAGCCCAGTGGACGCCGTCCATCCAGAATGACAGCGCTCCTGCGTTCTCCCCCAGCGAGGTACTGAACACCAATACAGTGCATAAATACAAATTAAAAGCTGTCTACTAAGGTGAAGAACGGCTGCCCAGTGAGACATCCCAGAAGTCTTTTGGCTGGAAGATTATTTACTCTTATTCAGACAATATTGTTTTGGAAATAAAGTATTTCCATGCGTGTCACTATTATTTTACCTTTTGTACAGTTGGACAGCACAGTACACAGTCCAATTTAATGCCAGATGAACAAAAACAAACTTCTACTTTCATGTCCCTGGGAAAAACTCCCTTTAACTACCCTTGTAGATGAACTGCGTATAATTAAGTGTGTTTTCTTTGACTGTCCCAGACATGGGAGGACAATCATCTGTTTGCAGATGAAAAGCAGGCCACCCTGTTTCTGGGAGCTCTGGACTCCATCTTCCTCTTCTCATACGCAGTGGTGAGTGAAGCACACGGTTTTCTGTGTTTAACAAGCTTCTGAGAGCGGCGACGTCTGCCGCAGAAACGGGCAAAGCTGGCAGAGTATTTACAGTGTGCCAAGTTGGGCTGAGAAGGAAACCAGACTCACAGAACACCAGAAAAATCTAGATTTTAATCATCTGACAAGTATTCTTAATTTTAAGAAAGAAATGTATAAATTAGACACAAGCTCTCGAACAGCGACTTGTTTAGGATCTAAGATGACAGAAGAAAGTGAAATATTAATTATGTTGCTGGAACGCAGTGTAACTTACTTTGTGCTATTAATTTTATATAAAGTCAGACGAGTTGTCGTCTTTTATTCGTCTAATTTTTGTGTGTTTCTGTCTCCACAGGGTCTGTACTTGAGCGGTGTGATCGGGGACAGAGTGAACCTGCGATATGTGCTCTGTGTCGGCCTGTGTGGCTCTGCTGCAGTGGTTCGTACTTTATGTTTAGATAAATGATGTATCTTATCCAGGATAGTGTCCCTTTGTGATCATTCTTCCATTATGAAATCCACTGGTTTCTAAGTGCCAATAGATTTACTTACCCACTTGAGTTTTTTTTTGTGCTCTTTTCCCATTTTTGCTCATTGGAAGCTAATTTTTCACTGCAGCATAAAGTCCTGCACATCCATGGAAACAGCACAGCCGTGACTAGAAGTAGAGAGAATTAAAAAATGACTTCAGAGCAGGAAAACAAACTTTTAATACTGTAAATCTTAAATACAGAAAAACTAGTTTAATTTCTTCAATTATTGATTTTACAAAAAGTTGATTTTAAACCTATATTTGCTCGATTTTTCTAATGAAACAAAGTCACATGTGATGAGTTCAAGAACTGTCAGATACTTGAAAATCCAATGTCTCTCTCTCTTTTAATTTTTATGGTTTCTGGTTCTGATAAATGGCATAATTTTAGTTTTTAGAAGAAAAAAAATAAATAACATGCCGTAGGGGGCTTAGGGCTTCAGAAAGTTGAACACGAAGCACTGAAGTTTAGAACATATCCATTCCTCCTGAACTGCGTGTATTTATATATCTAAAACCTTGCAATACGACTGCATCTATGCATGTGTTTCCAGGAGTTTGTGTTCGGCACTCTGACTGAATGGCTCCACATCTACAACATCTATCTGTACTGTGGCCTCTGGGTGCTGAACGGGCTGCTGCAGTCGGCCGTCTGGCCCTGCGTGGTGGCCGTCATGGGCAACTGGTTCGGCAAGACGGGGTGGGTGACTTCTCTTGTTTACAGCGTCCACATTTATCTAACGCTGCTTCTGCTATGACCAGCAGATATATTTCCAGCCTCCTAGAAATACTGCACACACACACAGAAACACACACATGAACACAATGACGTCCATTCAGTGGTGCAAAAAACACAGACGCCATTTAGGTGCAGGTTTCCTTGTAATGTGCTGATTATAAAAATACTAAGTCTGTTTCTGCACTTAATAAAATAAAGTATGTTTTGTTACATGATTTAAAGCAGTGTTTTTTTTGTATTGAAACACCTGAAAATAGAACATTTTACGGTAAAACTTTTCCAGGCGCGGCTTTGTGTTCGGCTTGTGGAGCGCCTGCGCCTCCGTGGGCAACATCCTGGGTGCCTTCCTGGCTTCTAGTGTGCTCAAGTATGGATATGAGGTGGGACACACACATGCTTATACATTCTACCTCAGCGTAGCCAGCAGCTTCATGCTGATGTAATGTTTCTTTGTGCAGTATGCCTTCCTGGTGACGTCCGTGGTGCAGTTTGCCGGTGGGGTGGTGGTGTTCTTCGGCCTGCTCACCTCCCCGAAAGAAGTTGGTAAGAAATGTTTGCAAAATGTGGTAGACTTTTTTAAAGGCTCTGTGTGAACCCAAACGTTATCCAGATGCTGCCTGGATTCCCATATTACTTTGAGAGATGTATAAACTTAATTTCTTGCTTAATATACGTGTGTATCTATGTGGTCATATTACTGCTTTTTTTTAACAAGACCAGCCAACTTTGTGTGTTTACTTTTAATTCCCGTGAAAGCCAGCGTGAACTTGTGTCACATTACGGCCTCAAATAGAAACATGCCTGTGTTTGTGTTACCTGAAGTCTTGATTAAATTTAGCCTGTATGTCAGGTCTGAGCTCGGAGTCGGAGACCGGACTCGGCCCGGTGGAGACGGACACGGACAGCCACAAGCCTCTGATGAGCGATGAGGAGGACGAAGTGGAGGTGGAGGTTTACGGCAGACGATACGAGGCGGCAGCGGCGACGGCGGCGGCTCAGCAGCAGGAAGAACCTCCAACCGAACCTCCGCAAGCCATCAGCTTCCTCCAGGCTTTCTGTCTGCCTGGAGTTCTGCCTGTGAGTCTGAAGAAGATGAATTTGTTAAGCTTTTAGCCATCAGATGATTACAAACATCACACCTTTCTCACTGTGTTCACTCTGTGTTTTTGTGCACTGCAGTATTCTCTGGCGTATGCGTGTCTGAAGCTGGTCAACTACTCCTTCTTCTTCTGGCTTCCCTTCTACCTGAGTAACAACTACAAATGGAAAGAGGCTGAAGCCGACCGCCTGTCTGTGTGGTACGATGTCGGAGGAATCGTCGGTAAGCTTTTTGCTTTTTTTTTGTTGTTGTTCGTGCTGTTTTATCTGTTTTTTTTTTTTTTTTTTTTTTTTTTATACGTTAAATCGTATATTTGACATTACATTTTTAATGAAATGCTTTTTATGTAGTTTCGTACCTTGGAGAAGAATTGCCGCTTTATATTTTACTGATAGGATGTTGTTTTAACGCTCTCAGATGAAGTGGAAATATAAAATAGAGCTGGAATTATTAGTTAGATTTGTCTGTTATTTGGGGAATTGATTTATTCTTTAAGTCATTTTTTAAGCAAACCTGCCAAGCACTCCCCAGATTTGCTGCTTGTCTTTGCTTCTTGCAGGAATAAACTGAGTATCTTTGCCATTTTGGACCACTGGTCACACAAAACTATCAATTTAAATATGTCACCTTGTGTTTTAGGAAACTGCACAACACATTTTTTAACAATAATCTAACATTTTATTGATGATTAATTGAGAAACTGATGGATGAGTCACCAGCAAACAACATCAGACATACATTGTACACAGCTTATCTTCAAAAAATGTTGACAAATGTGACCAATTCCTAAAATATGGCATCCAAATTACAATTTCATACTTGTTAAACCAGCTGATAAACATTATTGCAACAACAGACTCCTATAATTTCGCTTTGTCTTCATCATCCTGTTTCTTTTTGGCAGGAGGAACAGTCCAGGGTCTGATCTCTGACTTTATGGGGAAGAGAGCTCCGGTGCTGACGGTCAGTCTGGTGCTGGCAATGGGAGCCCTCGTGGGATACAGCCGTGAGTACAGGCACATTATCTATAAGCCAAATATGAGCTTTAAAGACACACAGGATTAGTTAACAACAACAATAGTTAAAAAGCAAAATTAAGGTGAGTCCTTAAAATTAGCTCATTTTCTTACTTTTTTCCCATATTTCTGTGTCTATTAACTGTAGCAACAAAAGCTACAACAGGGTCCCAGATTCTTTTTTGGGTGTAAAATAACTGAAGTTCATATCTTCTCTGTCCTCTCTCAGGATCACCCAACGACCAGGTGATAAACGCAGTGCTCTTGGCCACCACTGGCTTCTTCATCGGCGGTCCATCCAACATGATCAGCTCGGCCATATCCGCCGACTTGGGCAGACAGGAGGCTCTGAGGGGCAGTAAGGAGGCTCTGGCTACCGTCACTGGTATCGTGGATGGAACAGGAAGTATAGGAGCTGCTGGAGGACAGGTAAACCGAACAAACGAGATTTCCTGTAAGCATGCTTTACCAAGGTTAGAGGTAAAAGTACCCGTTATAAAGTAGAAATAAAGAACTAAACACAGTGAATTTGGCAAAAGGTTGGAAATGTCCAATTCCAGTTCATGTGCTTTCACAAAACATCTCGCAGCAAGTCTGTATTTCTAAGATACGGCCGTGCGGACGCCATTTAACCTGCACATTTCTCCGTCATTACGTAGTATCTGGTGTCTCTGATTGAGAGCAAGCTGGGCTGGAGGAGCGTCTTCTACTTCTTCGTCGTCATGGTAAGATGTTAATTCACTGTTCACTCGAAACATTTTGACTCGTTCCAGAAGGTAATTTAGGAACGATCCCAGTGACGATGGCTGATTCTGTTCAGCTGCTTCAGAGTGTTGTGCTCGCTGGCTCACTCTTTAATAGAGAACAGCCTTTATTAATGTCAAATTTGAGTTTTTAAAGCTTCACAAGCATAAAGGACGATATATATATATGTGTGTATGTTGTACATTCTGCGTGGATGTCTTGACAACGGGAATATTTTTTAGATTTTGACCCAATGAACCACAGCGTTACACTTCTCTCTCTCTCAGTGCCCTGATCTGGATGGAAGCTGTCTCTCATTTGCTAGTTGTGCAGCAGGCGGCCCTCAGGGATCTATTTTAGGACCAATTATATTTAGTATCTATAATAATGATCGTCCTTAAGTGTGTCCAGATGTTCAAGATGATGTGCGATTTTTAAAAAAACAGCCTCAAGCTTTCACACATGTCGATAAAACGCGAGCTTATTTCAGTGCAGGTGCTTTAAATTGTGTGCTGTAAGCAAAAAAACTATCATATTACAACCTCCTTTTTCACTTTTTACGACTCTAAAAGAACGAATCGGCGCTCCCTTGTGACTGAACATGTTGTGTCTCTGCGTTGCAGACTGGGGGCAGCATTCTGTTCATCACTCCGCTGCTTCTCAAAGAGCTGCGAGCCATGTGGAGAGACCGACGGGCGCGGCGACGCCAGCTGTGAAAAGAAAAAAAGCTCAACATCTGCCAGCTGTAATGTTTCTCCTCTTATCGGTGACACAGCAGGTCAGATTCAGCTCCTTAGGTGAGTTTCAGGATGTGTAAAAACGCAGCCTAAAGCATACAGGTACGGTTCTTTTTAGTGCAAATACAAAGAACTGAAAGGTTGAGCTGAAGTGCCTGACTGAAAAAGAGTTTTGAAAGGGACCCGACTGTCGCTCTGACCAGTCTGTAGATTCACTCAGAATGTACTCGTGTAAATATTTTAGCCTTTAAATTATTGTAAATACTCCACTTTTTAAATGTCCAACGGTCGATATGACTGAATTTGATTTTTAAACCACGACTTCTTAACTTAAAGATCCTTAAAGACAGTTTGAGGGTCAGAGTTACCTAAAGAATGTGAATAGTGATTGTAATGTAAAAAAAAACTATCATGAGCTGTTGTAGATATGTAAAATATTTAGATCGGGTTCGGTTGAGGTACTCAGAATTGCACTCCGGGATAATCACGCAGTCTTGAACCACTTTGATCTGAAGGTTTTGGGAAACTTTCACCTCACAAAGTTAGTTTTTTTTTTTGTAATCCGGATCAGAATCTTAACTGTAAAGCCTTTTCGTGACAGAGACTGGTTCTCTTGGTTCTGTGTAGGCGTCAGTCACTGACTCAATTTTTGCTCTTCATTCCCTTTTCGCCTCATTTATGCTCGAATGTTTACAGTTTGACTTTTAGTGTCTTAATTCACAGTTAACACACACACACTGGTTGAAACACAGTTTGCTGTTTTGTTCTCTCACTCTTGGTTCATAATGTAGCACGTAGCTAAAAGCTAAACGATAAATTGACATCACGGAAGAGTTTGTTTTAAAATATTAGTTTAGTTTGTTGGGCAACTTAACTGTAAATCTATGAGGAATATGTCAGTTTATAAGTTTTAATTGCCAGTAAAGGTGTAATATTAGTGCAGGATTTTAATGCAAGGTGGTGGCATCGTCATACAATTTCTGCTAATCATTGTTTGGACACTTTGTCTTCATGCTAGACAGACTTGAATCATTTGGAAGAAGATAGTTTTGGTTAAGACAGGAATTTATTTGCACTCCTGCATGTAGATGCACGAATCTTCATGCAAAATGCTTTTGACATGTTTAGAAAGTAACATCAGGGCTTTATTTTGTCATCATTATCCATATGAGGTAGGTTTTTTGTCTTAATCTTGGGGAACTGATGCTTAGTCTGAGACTTTCATTGCTTTTGCCTCTCAATGAGCCAATCAAGTGTAATAGAATGTCAGTTGAAACATGTGGAATGTGTAATCTGGAATCTGTGGTGCAATTTTAAACTTGTTTTTATTTTTTATTTATGTGTACTTTTTGACCTTTAACTGATGTAAATGCATTTTTTTTTTTGGAAATAAATGCAAAATCCATTTTGCAGATTGTGAGTATTTTGGATACGATTATTATGGTATGTGTGGAAATTTGATGAGCTTTCAAACCGCATCTGTGGGTTTGAAAGGCATGTTGTTGTTTTTTTATTATAAAAATCGCCAAAATAACAGTTGTTTAGAACAAGAAACTGTAAAAACAGGAGGATTTGTCGGATTGTCGACTTTCCAACAGTCCTTGAACTGTTCATGTGACGTTCAGTTTTATCAGGATCATAAACAAAATCTAAACTTGAAATTCTATTTAATCAAAGTCACTTTATTTTACATTTTATTTAGGAAATTTCTCAAAAGGTCGCCGGTTCACATCCCAGGATCTTTCTGTGTGGAGTTTACATGTTCTCCCCGTGCAGCGTGGGTTCTCTCCGGGTTCTCCGGCTTCCTCCCACACGGTCCAAAAACATGTTGAGGTTAATTGGTGATTCTAAATTGTCCGTAGGTGTGAATGTGAGTGTGCTTGGTTGTCTGTCTCTAAGTGTAGCCCTGTGATAGACTGGTGACCTGTCCAGGGTGTCACCTGCCTTCACCCTAAGTCAGCTGAGATAGACTCCAGCCCCCCATGACCCCTAGTGAGGATTAAGTGGTGTATAGATAATGGATGGATGGAAATTTCCCCAAATTATAGTGTTTGAACAAGCAAAATTTAATCCAAAAAATATATATATCCTTTGCTCCTGAGCAAAAAGTAGAAGCCATGATTGACTCGCCTCCAATCAACAATCACAAAAAAAATTCAGTTTTCTGTTGACCTGCAGGAGGAGCCACATTTTTCCCCCCTGGTATTGTACACCTTTGGGTGCTTGGGAAAAATGTAGCACATGTTTATTCCATTTTTGTAAAACAATTCAGCTTTCATTTTTCTTGTTTCATGATTTATGGCACTCTAACTGTATCATACTGCACAGAATACCTTTTGAGTTTTCTCTACTTCTAGTCATGGTCGTACTGTTTCCATAGAGGTGCGGGACTTTGGATTGCAGTGAAAAATGAGCCCACAGTGAGTGAAAATGTGACATAAATGTGTCTTTCTGGGTATTAAACATCATTATTATTGCTTGCAACCAAATTAAAATATGTCTGCAACATTTGCAGTTCTACATGTAAACCACCAGGGGGCGCTATGAACTCACACTTAAACCGTCGAAACAAAAGACTTCAGACCAGTGATTTGCAGCTTATATCAATATAACATTTTATTAATTTGCGCACACTATATGACATTATGAAGGCAACAGTGCACCAACAACCCAGCAATGGAATCTCTTAACATTTTCTATACATATATTCCTATCAAAAAAAAAAACGGATATGATTCTGATCTCATACAATTACACTTCTTACATGTTGCAAGGATGCATATACCAGTATTAAATTACAATAAAATTATTACACATGGTATACAAATGTTATCTTACATTCATGCATATACAAAGAAAAAAAAACTCTACACTTTGATATAGCTGCGACAGGTGAATTAGGAAAAGCAGAGTTTGCTTGAGCACAGTGAGATTTTATTTTTATTTTTCCTCTCAGTGGACGAGTCCGGCTTCAAAAAGGTTCAAAAGAAGAAAAAAAAAAATTAGAGCCGATGGGAAAAAACTGTCCAACAGTGTCAAAGAGGAGGTTTAATTGTCAATAAATCCCTCATCTGTGTCTCTGTTGAGGATTTTTTTTTTGTTCTTTTAGAGATTACCATAAAAAAATAGTTCTTTTGTCGACCACGTTTAAAGTAGTGCAAAGATATGGTTTCAGAAAAAAAATAAAAATTAGTTAGTTGTAGCAAAAAAAAAACGGGGAATTTGAAATTATTTCCCCACAAAAACAAAAGACAAGAACTGCAAATAAGTTAATATAGACTTTTAAAGTTTCGTCTGGAGAGAATAGATGCACACAAACACTGACACACACACACACACACACACACACACACACACATATATAAGCTGACGAACAAACAGTCCTGACGCATAAAACAATGTCGGTTATGTTTGAAGCTGTCAAATATCGCCGTGTGCAGGAAGAGAAAAAAAAAAAAAGTACAACATGATAACAAACAACTGCTTTCATGCTGATTTTTTTTAGTTTTTTTTTTTCCGCACAGACCGAGGCAGCTGGTTCACAAAAGAGAGACTGAGAGACTTTTAAGGGGGCCAAACAAAAGCATGTCTGAATCGCGGGCCGCTCGTCTGGCCGGAGGAAACCCTTTGATCGAGGAAGGGTCTCAGACGTTTTTCTCGTGAAGGTTCTCTGTTAAAGATTGTCCCTTTTTTCCCCCGTCGTCCACCCCCCAACCCCCTGTCCCTCCTGTCAAAGCTGAGAGCGACAACAAAAGCTGGCTGCCTCCCCTCCCTCCTCCCCTCCAGGGACCAGAGTTTCCTCTGCGTCGAGCTCTGACACACTGACTCTTTTACCTGATGTGAAACTCGACACGAAGCGCTGAACCTCAACAGCTTTTACCACAACACAATAATAAGCTTTAACCCCCTCCTCCCCTCTGTCGTCTCTCGGTCCCTCTTTCGTGCCCCGTAAACAAACCTGAGCTACTTTGATTGTTTTTTCTGTTACTGAATCACTTGATGAGGTAGTAAAGAGCAGATTAATCCAGGTTATGGCTTTTTGTCCATATAGAAAAAAATCTGAATTACTGTCGCGAGGGAAAGAAAAAGTTAGAAAGTAGTGTAGTTGTGGATCACATGAAGTGAGCAGCCTTGTCTTTTATTGACATTTTAACCTTCTAAACTCCAGATCCTGCTGGTAGATTTGTCTTTAAAAGGGAAAATTGCTAAAAATGGAACATGTATCATTGGATTTTCAAGCTTTTTGATGGTCCTTGAACTACTCATCAGGAAACTTCTCCAAATCTAAGCTTAAAAAAATAGTGAAAATCAATTTATTCTAAAGGTTTAATTGAAATATTCACCAAAAAATCGCCATTTATATTAAATTTATTCTGTAAAATACAAAAAAATTTGTGCTCGTCATCACAATCGGAAAGACACGAGCAACTCGGTTGTCACCAACAGTCACATAACAAAAATTTAGGGACTTTTTGGCCAAACTAGGTTGAACTGCAGGCAAATTAAAAGTGTGTGTAGAGTCACCATTTGTCCGTTATTGGTGACACCTCTGGGCACTTAGCAATTAAGAAAAATTGACTTTCGTGTTTAAATGTGACGATCTTGACCGGCTGTCCACTTTCTGTGACCCGTAACTGATAAAGAAAAAAAGAAGTGTTTCTAATTTAATGGCACAACAATTCCTTTGGTTCAACTGCCTCAGCTGCCATAACAACACTCACACAAACAAACAAACACGTATATAAAGAATGCGAACACTTATAAAACTGCACAGCGACAGAAAAATGTGACACAGCTACGACTCTTCATATAAAAAAAAAAAAAAGATCAAAAGCAGAAACCAAAAAAAAAGTTGAGGTTCCTCTGAGCTGCAACACAGTGATAAAACACTACATTCCCTTCATGGAGAAAAGAGGCGTAAATACAAAAAAAAAACCTACAAGGTGGACGTCACATGAAGACAAAGAGTGGAGAAAAAAAATGCTACATTATTAAAAGCCCACGAAAACATACCACCTGATATGTTTCGGTTTGATGCCAAGATTTTTTTTTACAACCCCATTATGCAAATAATACAAAGCAAAAAGAGACTATAGTTTGTTGTTTGTGTTTTTTTTTTTGCTAAGTTGTGATGGTGTAAAATGGCCGTTTGTTTTTTTAGGGTGGCAACGGTGGAGTGTCAATGAGCCATGAGGCATAATTTGGGGGCGATGGCATTCTACAAACACCTCGTTTTACTCTTTTTTTATTTTTTACAATGACCTAGCATCGTGAAGAATAAATAAATAGTCACATATCAAACATTATCATTATTATTATTGCTCAGAATTTATCGTACAGGTACGGGCCGCGAGCCGAAAACTCCACCGCTGACCTTTCACCTGGAGGTAATCGCGAATTTTGAACCCCGAGGCGAGGTTTCGACCCCTGGTTCAACTCGAGCTGTCAGAGCTCAAAGGCGTGGTTCCAGGAATAGCAACTGGGTCTAATCGAAACCTCTTATGACGGGAGAACAAAGGTCAAGGGCCGGGGGTCAAATACTGTTCGAGGAGAATTAACCTCTTCCGACTCATTTTCTGTCATGTCCTGAAAGAGTGCATTCAAAAATGATTTCACAGTATAGTCGAAAAGCTGAGCGAAACAGTATAGAGAATGTACACTACATATAATATTTATATAGCTATCCACAAAAACCGTTTCTGAAGTCCGAGCCGTGTGTTAACTACGAGAATGGTAGCTTCCTTGTGCTGAAAGTGAAAGGTCTGTGGTGTCAGAAGTTTTGAAGCCCATTTGAGCTTGTGGACAGTCACTTACAAATTTGCTACATATGTACAAAGGATGTAGTTGAGGTGTGGAGGGGATGGAGACCACTTGGTGATCGTCCACCGGGTCTTGTTGTGCTTTTCTTTTCGTTTTTTACTGCCGAGACGATACTTTGTAATGCAGCAGCCTCCTCTTCTTCACCTTGAAGAAATCTGGAGAGAGAAAGAACACAATGAAAATGAGTTCAGTGAGGATGTGGAATCAGGAGGAAGGACGCTGAGGTTGACATTTAGAGAAATAAAGACTGGAAACAGGGAGATGGAGGCTTAGCTCGCTCCGAATGTGCCAAAATTAGTCTACTTGGACCTCTAAACAACATTATTACATTATTACTCGCCAATAAAACTCATATTTAGCAAAATGTCAAACTATTCCTTTAACTCTGAGCCCTATAAGCAATTTCTGGGTGTTTAATTTATTTTCTTTTGCATTTTTATTCACTGTGGCTTCGCTTTTCACTGCAATATAAAGTCCTGCACCTCTATGAGAGAACTCATCTGTGCAGTTATAACAGTTCTAATGTGAAAAATCTATTTTTAAAAAAGGAAAAACTACAGTTGAATTTCTTTGATTACAAAAAAAATCCAGTGCCCACAGGTGTAACCAACACTGAAAAAATGTAGCTCTCCATCTTATAGATATTTTAATATTTACATTTTTAATTTCTTTCCATACTTGTCTTTTCCTGCTCTGTTCAAACCCAGCCTGCAGTTCAGCTGAAAAGTTTCTGTAATTTGGCTGTTAGTTGCACCTGAGCTGCTAATCGTTGCATCGAGAAGCTTAGAATTTTTTGGTTTTTGACAGAATTTGGTCCCTGCTGATGGTTTATTTTGTGTAAACACAGCTTGTAGTTCAACTGAGAAGACCCTGAATTTTTGTCACTTCACCGTCAGTCACAGCTGAGTCACTAATGACTTCACTGCTGCAACAAGGATGCAAAATTTTTAGTTTTTTTAACAACTTTAATACGAGCAAACTGTATAGTTTTGGTACATTTTTGAATGAGGCATGTAGAATACGGTGATTTTCATGGATTAAGCATAATTTTTCTCAACAAAACCAGAAGTCACACATAATTAATTCTTTCTGTTTTTATAGTTTCTAGCTCTGGTCGTGATTTTTTTATTTTATTTTTTAACCATCCCTTCAGTTTTGGGGTTGAGAGAGTTAACCGACATGTTCCATGAGCTCACCTGTGATGGCCGCCTGTTTGCGTTTTCCCGCCCGTTGGATCCGGTAGCACCCCCTTGTGGTCACCTCCAGGTACTCGTCCCCAGACCCAGACGAGCTGCCGGACCTGGGAGAACCCTCGCTGGATGAGGAAGACGCCCGCCTCTTGCCCTTCGTCGTCTGGGCTGCAGGCCTCGCCGCCGGCTGCACCATGCAGCTGCGGTAAAACGCCGGCACGTCCTGGCACCGGAGCGCCTCCCACTCCACGTTGGAGCCCTTCCCCGGCACGTCGCTCTGGAAGTCAAAGTTCCAGCGCTTGTTGGCCACCTCCACGCTCATGCAGAGCAGCCGCTGGAAGTCCTTCTGCAGCTGGTGGTGGTCCACGGGCCCGAAGAGGTTCCTCCTCACCGGCCCCACCTTCAGCCTCAAGGCCTCAATGCCTCCCAGGCGCGAGAGCTCCGAGTCGGACACCGAAGCCGGTCCTGCTGCTGATGCTGATGTAGAGGCCATGGCCATGTCCCTATCAGAGAACAAACAGACACGCAGAGTGAGAGGAAGGCCAGAGGTGGAGCGGTCCCTCTGCTGGGCCTGCGGAGCTTCAATGAGGTGTGATGTGGGCTTTTACGGGCGTAGATTACACGCAGACACACTATTACAGGCACAGCGTCGGCCCTCTTGGGTGCCTTTGTGTTTTATGTGATCAAACACACATGTGGCTTCACCCGCTGAGTAATTACTGCAGCTACAGGTACCCCGAGGAACACCACATAAATCCCACCGCCCTGCCGTGACAGAATGAACCTGATTCTCCACCTGCTCCGGTGTTTGCCAGTCAAAGGTCAACAGCGAAGGTCAGCGCGGAGAAGAAGTCGGCGTTGTGAGGAATGTTTCCCGCATTCCCCGTCTGCCACTTTCAATTAGAGGACGACTGCTGGATTCTGAGATTGAAGTCTGCACCGAAAACTGACATTCTGCCTTAACTTTCCAGCCTGTTTTATCTCTAGACAGATAATGTTTTACATAGAGGTGGATAAAAACCACATCCTTCTGTCTCGGAGCTCCTGTTTGACTCCCACTTAACTGTCTTTGTCGGCTGTGTGTAGGCAGTCAAACAAGATGACATTTGTTATCTTGGATTGGGCGGGTTTTGGGTGCTGCAAGTGTTTAGCCAAGTTTTTTTAGGTTCCAAATCTCTCAAGAGACACGAAAAGCTTCCGCGCTTTTAACCGCTTCATTCTAATCGGATGAATTCCACTTAGACTTGACTTAGCTGATCCTGTTAGAAAAGCACACAATGAAACACCAAAGCAGCTTTTTCACATGTACACACTAACCAGCCTAATGTGGATGTACTATTTTTAAATCATAAAACTGATCGCACCCTTCCTGGTAAATCTGTATTTGCCAGTTTATGTTCTGCTTTTATCTGGATCAGACAGTCATAAAGTGGAAATACGCCAAACTTTATGCCTGTGGTGACAGTAAAGGTGTCTTTGTGAAACTTTCATGCAACCAAGAAACAAATGTGCAGTTTGCAGCATAATCAGGTCTGACCTTTATGAATACTGTGGTCGGATCTCTAAAATATTTGCATAAACTACAACTAACATGATTCACAAATTGGTTTTGCATATAATAGTGAGAAATTATCTCTTTCCCAATCATCCTACAATCTTACAAATGCATCTCTCATAAAGGAAACTGATGCTCAGCCACAGTTTAGAGGCTGCAGTCCCTTTTTTGCCAAGTGGAAAACTGCATTTTGTTAGTTAAACTGCTCCTTTAACGCTATTCCCACTGTTAAAAACAACTTCTAATCTAAGACACATAGCAGGTAAAATACAGCACAAACATGAGAACTGCTGCTCACATGAACTGCAGTTATTTTTTTTGGCACAAACCGGCTTGGAGGAAAAAAAGAAAAGAAAAAAGAAGCAGGCCAAAGGGGCCTGGAGGGGGAGATACAGAGCGTTGCGCAACTGTTTGACACCTAAAGAACATATAGTAAGAAGAAGAAGCACTTTCACAAGTCAGCTTGGCTCTATTTTTTTTTTTACAACGTGTTTACTCACACAACGTGTTAAACAGCGTGTAGGAAACCACAGCAAGCAAACTTTTTTTAAGTGCGCACTTTGGTCCAGCAGCTATAAATTACAGATAAAAACAAAACAAAACAAAACAAAAACAGCGCAGCTTCAATTTTCTAGTTTGTTTTTCTAAAAGAATGATAACTGTTCATTTTAGGGCAGCTTATTAAAAAAAAAAAAAAAGAAACCCACAATTGCCCTCTTCCACCAGCAGGGCTGCTCGCTGCGGGTGAAAGTTGTTTGCGTCGAGAGCGAAGTGGGCGCGGTGTGCAGGTCAGGTTTCCACTGTGGTCGGTGTCCCCGCATCCAGAAAAACACCCGAGAAAATCCACACTAAAACCCCTTCTCCAAAAAACACTTCCAATGCACCAAATATCTCTGCAACTGCAAAACGCCGCAGCGCAGGAAAGCAACAGCGGAAAAGTTCGTTTCCAGGCTGCGTAAAAGTGAGTTCAGTGTGAAGGGAGAAGCTGGTGACGCAGTTAGATTCACTGAGGATGTGGGTCAATGAGATGCGGCACACAAACAGCCCCTGCATCTTGACATGCCGCGGAAAACTCACTTTACGCACAGAATTTACGCATCAATGTTAAGAACAACAACAGAAACGATGTTGGTTAACTTTTACGCAGCTGTTAATTACTTATGTAAACTTTTAAAAAGAAAACGAAAACGAAAAACAAGCAAATACAGTAGCGATGGAACGCTTTAACGTTGCATTTATCCAAACTACAATGAACCACATTTGGCGTTTTTGTAAAAAATATTCCCTCAAAGACATATAAAACACTCCGATAAACTGTAACCACAAGCAAAAGAAAAAGCATATTTCTCTCTTACCATCAGCGTCAATGTCTCAAAAAGTCTTCAAGAGTTTCGTCTCCAAATTACGCACAGCTCACCGAGTCAGAGGAATGAAAGGTGTTCCTGACAGTCCCGTGTACATAAGCAGTCACGTTGAGAAGTTTTAGTGGACTCTACCCACGGGAGGGTCCTGCCTGTCCCCTTATCTGCGACTTGTTTGTTATGGACTGAGAATACAGGAGGAGGAGAAGGAGGAGGAGGAGGAGAGGAGGGGGGGGGACGTCCCACTAGAGGACCCAGTCACGTGGTTTCCATCAAAACAGTCATTGTTGGAGCGCAGCCAGGTGGTAAACAACGTTAATAAACTTTTAATACACTTTTACGCATCACATTATGCGCACTGTTCTCCTGCAAAACTGCAGAAAAACGCAAAATGATCCACCCAAAAAATAAATAAAAAATATACATAAGACTAACAAGTGCCTCTTTTGCATCTAATAACACGTTATTGAAATGCATCAAAGTGTAAATAATGTTCTTACCCTGTTAACATGATGCTGGAAAACTCGTCTGTGCGTGCGCTCCTGCTGCTGCTGCGAACCTGTTGCTCCTGCGCTCTGCTGCGCCCCTTGTGCCTTACTTCTCCTCCAGAGCGAGCAGAAGTAGGTCAAATATCTTGGCAGTGGCCGCCATTTCCCCTTCTCCCTCAAATGTGACACACATTCTCGTGTAGTGCTTGCATCACGTTCTGTTTTGGCGCCGCGCCCACCTCCTCAAGTCACGTTGAGCTGCAACGTGAGCGGGACACAGCTCCATTTTGACCTTTCCTGCAGTTTTACCGCGTTTATGCACATTTTAGGTTGGATAGGTGGAGGGGAAAAAAGCACCGAAAGTGTAGTTACCAGAAGGACAACTCTCACTCTCAATGGACTTTTTTTTCCCACATCATAAATCTGATTACAACCAGTGTGTATGGGAAAGTCAACTTTTATAGGTCAAACAATCAAACTAGTCTTATGTTATCCTGAGCAAAAGGTGCTTGAAAGTCATTTAACTGGAACATAACAAATCTTACAGTGCAGTGTAGTCTTAGACTGTAGATGTTCATTTAAGGCTGTTTTTTCCACCAATAAAACCACTTGTCTGATGTTTAACATTAATCAGGTCATGACAGCAAGTTAGAGATTTGACTTATAGTTTTAAAAAGTTCATTTTAAGCATCAATACAAATAAATACATAGATAAATAAAAATCACTTTCCGCCTCTTATACATGAATATGTGGTTTAAAGTGAATATTTGAAGGTTTTGGGCTCAAAATTAGAGAAAAACAAGACTTTCGGTCTATTGGAACCTCTGATTATTTTGACAGATTAGTTCTCAAAACAGAAAAAAAGCCTTTTTTTCATTGTGGGCAAAAAAACAATCAGGTGACAAAAAATTGTTTTCTTTCTTGTATTTATTTATTTATTTATTTGTACTGTCTTGCTTTCAAATTCATCCTTTTAGTCCATCCTGATTATTAAATTTCCTCGATTGCTCCTGTGTCATTGCACACTTTTTCTTTGTTAAACTATTTGTCAGTTTATGAATGACTCCTCAGTAGTATTTTTTTGCGTCACTCGTCCCTCTTTTGCCCTTCCGACAGCTATTATGACATTCTCTTTGTCTCCAAAACGCTCTTGTTGTGAAATACTGTAGCTTCTGGTTTGCAACTGAGAAATCAATTCTCCTGTTTCCTTTTGTTGCACAGACTCTTACAAGTGCCTTACACGGGCAGCAGAGCGACGGTTGCATTGCGCTTCAGTGACATAATACAGCAGTCATCTGAGACTGAGGCCTGCTGGCCAGCCAACGCCCCTCACTCAGAAGGGTTATTCCAGGTTTTAGACACACGTACTCCGGCTATTTTTACACTATTCATCGCCCGGACTGTCTCGCGCCACTAATGTTTTCCCACCTCGAGCCCGCCGAATGCAGACAGTGTTCCTGCAGAACTTTACGAGACGCGCTCATGATTAAAGCAGGTACCGGCAGCCCGGGCCGTTGTTTGTGTGACATTCGTGGCCTGAAAGTATTTGTGTCACAGCTGTGGAATGTTTCTTCGTGCGGGCGATTTTCACATGAGGGGCTTAATGAAGAAAGTTCAAGGCAGTTCAAGGCTCCAAACAAGCAAAAAAACAATTTCCCCCTAATTCAGCCCAGTGTGTTTATGAGTTTCACATAAACCCGTAAAATCTCAGACTTCATTTACTTGGATTCTGAATGGGAAGGCAATGAGTGGAAATTATTGGGGAGACCAGCGGAACCTTTGCATAAACTTTAAAAACAACCCTCTAACTTCTGAACTCAGTTGCCTCATATATTAATACTAATGAGTCCTCTAACTTGTGCAGCTAAATACGATGTTTGTCCACAACAACACGATGCAACAAGTTTTACCCACTTAGCTTTATCATGCCACAATGCCATTACTCGGGTTTGGTCGGATTTGCTACGATGGCTGTTTTTCTTACGCTTAGGGAAGCTTTGTTGTCATGGTTACAATGATAAAACCATTGTTAACATCTTGGTCAGGCTTTAAAAAACCAATAACATTTCCTGTTGGTAGGAAACAGGTAAAGAACAGCAGCCTCTTATGTTAAAGTCTAGTGTTTGTTTGACCCATCCATCCACCCCGACCTCCTCCCTGTGCTGCTCTAGAGCTGACTTCCTCTTGTGATCTTGTCATTTGTACTCCAGCTGCTAAAAATCTGTTACTTGAACATAAAAATGCTTTTTTTTCTTCTTGTTCTTGCTAAATCAAGTGATGCCGTTGTTCTTGTTTGGATAATTTTGTTAATCAAACAGTATTTTTTATCAACTAATTCACATTTTCGGTACAGAATTAGCTTTTTCTTAAACGCGACTAAGGTTGTAACAAAAGTGTTTCACTGGTAGCTACTAAAAAGTTCTTTCATCACCTCTAGATTTGATTAATGTAACACACTTTACTCCAGTATTAGCAAAGGAAACATTCACAAGCTTCAAATAAAACAAAATGCGTTTGTCGGTTACCAATTAGTTTTAGAACTGATTTAAGATTTTATCGCATGTTCTTAAAGCCTTAGTCGGTGTCTTTTAAGACATTCTTTTATCAGAGGGCCTTCTCTGAGCTGGTTTGATTGTGGTTGTTTTATTCTAATATTTGCTGTGTTTTGTCTGCATGGTTTTATCTCCTTTATTTTACCGTTTGCTTTTTAGCGCCTTTTCCCCTGTCAGTCCCTTATAACCTGATTTAACTGCCAGCTTTCACATGAATGTGCAGCAGATTTTGTCTGACGTGCTGCTCCTTCGCCTCGAACCTCATTCACTATTTTGGCAGCCTGACATTGTGCCTGTCAAAACATGCTTCTTTATCTCCTCTAACTTTGCTCAGGGAGGTGATATGTTATCGAACTTTGTGCAGGACTCAGATTAGACGGGGAAGTCTGCAACTAAAGCAATAAACATTTCCATTTTTTTTCCCCAAAGAGTGAACCAAGTATTCATTCATTTTAAAAGACCTTCTTTTATATATTTACTATCACTCTTCAAGCAAAACTATTTCCTATCCGATTAACCCTCTGAGCTCCAAGTAGTCTTTGGGGTTTTTTCACTTCGGTCTTCTTTTTCCTTGCTGTAGGCTCATTTTTGCTGCAATATAAAGTCCTGCACCTCTGTGGGAGCAGCACAACCACATACAAGACATAAATCATTAAAACGAAAAAGACAAAAGTTTAACTTCTTTAATTATGGATTTTACAAAAATTGAGAAAACCTAGAATCATCATAGACATAATTTGTGCACACAGGTTTACCAACACGAGAGAAAATTAAAGCAGCTCTACATATTTAAGATATTTTGCTACTTACAGTTTTTATTTTGTTTCCATGCTTCTCCAGTCTGTGTAAACACTGCCTGCAGTTCATCCCAATTCATTAAAAAAAAGTCCTTGATTTTTTTTTGTTGGTCACAGTTGAGTCACTAATGGCTTCACTGTCACACTTATGAGTGCAGAAGTCTTTGTCTTAAACAGAATCTGTGTAGAATAAAGTCATTTTGACGAAATATAACGATTATAAGCTTAGATTTGGTTCAGTTTTCCGACAAAACTGCACATCACACATTAGGAGTTGTCTGAAAGTTGGAAATCTAACAACTCTTTCTGCTATTACATGCTCATGTTTGGCAATATTGTAAAGATAACATGCCTTTCAAACCCATCGGTTCGAAGGGTTAATTTGTAGAATAATCGGTAAAATACTTGATTACTATAATAATCGATAACTTCACCCTTGGTGCTATAAATGTCACGTAATAAATAAAGCTCATGTACAGACATGATTGTTGTCGTCTGTAGAAGAGGAAAAATGCACCGTGGCAACTCACATTATGATGCTGAACAAAGACAAACAGTGCATAACCTTTTCTCTACACATATTTGTGTTGTTCTGTTTAGCCTGTTTTATAAATATATACTGAGTTATTTTGGGCTTCTTCCCATTGTGACACATAATAGTCAATTAGGGTTGTGGCCCAGTTCCTCTAATGCTCCACTAATCTGTGTGTAAAGTGGCCTTTATACGCCGTCATATTTGAGGGTTCCCCGGCAGACAAAGAGGCCTCAGCAGCATGATCCCTCTCTGTTTTGTCGTCCCTCTGACCTGTATTTACAGTCAGCTTGTTGTGCGACATTACATCCCTAATCCTCCTCTTGTTGTCTACAGTGCTGTGTGTGTTTTGGAGTTCCTCCCCCCCTTCCCATCCCTAATCCACTGCTGCATGGTACAGTTGGATATGCAGTCATTAAGCCCATTGTTTTGCCCCTCCATGGTCGGCGGCCTTTGAATACATTAGCACGGTTGTAAAACAACAGTCACACACGGTACAATGTGACTCGGGTCAGAAGACTGGGAACTGTCACGGTGGGTCTTGTGCTCGTAAGAAAAGGGGGAAAAAATCAACCAGCCATCATCCATTTGAATGTGACCGATTCAGTGTGGAGACAAGACAAACAAAGGACACAATGGAGAATCCATTAAGAACCCGACCATGTATAATCCTACAACTGCAGGCAGTCGTTTGCAATTGTGTTTGGTTTGTGTTTTAGTCGGTTTGCATGCAAAGGTTTGTGTCACATCACATGGAAAATATTTGATTATAGCT